CCACAGGCGAGCGTGGACTACCATTCGTACCGAAATGATGCACAGGGATCGGCGAAGAGTGACGTCATGGATGTGGTTTGTGCATTCGCTCGTCTAGTTTCTTTGAATGGACGACGTGCATGAGATGTGTGCTGGATGGTTCATCGATATAATTTATCTCTGCGGGACGCAGTCATAAGATATATACGCTGTTCCATCAGCCTAATTCGTGATGGTGCTTCTATGGCGGACACTATAGTAGAGAGTCTAGGCAACATTTCGATCGTCCATGCTTCTCACTGCATAGAAAATACAACAACTACTGCGTTCTAAGTCTGTATGAGTGTTCACGTACTGACCCACGAACCACCGCGATGCCATAGCGAAAACTGCCTCTTAATCTCCTAGTGAAACATATAAGTATTGATGATAATTTGGCACGGTTTATATAACATCCAACGACACGCCCATGAGTAGGCCCTAGATTTAACTGTGAGTAGCTCTAGGAAATCAGCAATATAAAAATCCAATGTTTCGAAATGAGCATCGATAACTTACTACTCTTACTAAGAGTCTGCCCTCACGCGAAAGGATTGAGCACAGCTGGATACATTCGTAAATGGAATTCGCCATCTTTATGCATGTATCATGCGTCTCAACCCGTATTTCTTGCAATAATCTAGGCATCCACTTTATGTTATCCGTATTGTATAATGCACACGTCTGCCAATAATTAGAATGTCAATCCTGTTTTACCGCTTGACAACACTTGGCAGCAGAAAGCGTTCACGACATTGCGAAGTCGTGGCCTATATTTTGTCTGGATGTCACGAGGGTAAATATGCTGCCCATTGTGTAATCTCGTACTTTGTTTCTTGGAAGTAAGAAAGATGGAACGTGATAAATAACTCATCACGTTGCATTTCCTGCTCGAAAATAAGGCAAACGCTTTTTTGTAATAACTTTGCACTTAGAAACATTGATGAGTGTTATATGTATAACCTATATAGGAAGGAGATCATTGACAGACACGGGAAATTCAACTACCAGATTCACGCTCAAGAATATAATCTTAGATATATGTTTTCATCACAATGTTTAATTTCTCCAGTAATACCCGCTCCTGTGACGATATTAATCGCCACGTAAACACTCTTTCTCAAATAGTGAGTGTTTGTACGGCCCGTATATACTGTTAACTAAATATCGAATGGATATTACTAATGAGCTGACGATAGTATATGATACTTGCAAGGCACAAATGACTATTGTACATAGATGCTGATGACAAAATGTTATGATTTAGTCATCATATTACTATCAAAATGTTTTATTTTATAACCTGTAAGGCTATACAACATATACAAACACAGGCCGGTAGATGACGCCACGTCACCTACACGTGCCGTCCGACCTGTGGGTGTCGATATGTATGTATAGAATAGGTAATTGTATAATATATCACATGCTGTTGACGCCATGTGTGTATATAACGCTACTTTTATTCGAGATAAATAAAAATAAATGGTTTATTTTATACTATAAGAAGCAATTGTTGCGCCTATTATTTTTACTCTCGTATTGAGAACACCAGCAGTGTCGCGCAAACATTCGAATACAAACTCAAACTCTACAGCTATTATTTAAAATCGAGTGTTCAAATAATCTAGCTTATATTGTAGTGTAGGAATTATTTTGTTATAAATCATATAGATAATTATAGGCAACATGTTAATTATTACGTTAGTTGAATATTGTTGGTATTTTCAGGTAAGCAAATTTGTTTTTGTTGCCAGAGTTACTCATTGTTGCTAACACTTCGTCGAAACTTCTGTTAACGTCATGACACGATTAGTACCACGAACATATTTATGCAAATAATATTACAATATTACTTCGAATAAAACACATTACATAAATATATTGTAGAAACATGTTTACTAATGTCTATATTATATTTCTATTATATTAAT